AACTTTTCCAAACGATGGAACCAAATCTTAGAAATGAAAATGGTCACATGTACAGAACCTTACTTTTACTCTCAGCTTGCAGAGCTCAGATTCAGAGGCAATTTTTTTATCGTATCACACTCTTCTTGACATCTAGAATTACAACCCCCCCCCCCCCATATTGACAGAGAATCGTGGTCAATGGTGTATTTGTCTTTCTTTTCATACCTACACTTTTCCTTTAAAAATTCCTTCCATACTCGCAAATTGTTTTTAACGTTCTTTTTATTCTCTTGCGACACTTTAACTATTTTACCTTTTCTCATTGATGTGATTGAAAAAGAATGATCTTTGTTTCTGTCAAGCCTTTAAACAGTGCATTATATACTTGTATATTCGCAATTTTAATCCATCTGGAACCCCAAAATAAGACGAAGCCTGGTATTTTATTTTATTATTTAACTATTTATATTTTATTTGAGTTATTTAATTTTTATTTTTCTCTTTGCTTTTTTAAAATTTTAATTTAACTATTTTATATGTTATTTTATTTATTTATTTTTATTCACCTTCCCTGACGACCTTCCGTACAGCTCCTTTAATTATATTTTAAACCCCAAATATTGTATGCTTTAAATTTTCACAAATTCATCTAGTGAACAATATTTTAAAATACTGAAAAGAGACCTTATGAGGTTAAGGGGAAAGAGACTTAACTTTCATTCAATAATTTCAAAAACACTCACTAGTCTTACAATGCAAATCTGCTTACTTGACTACTTTTCCTTTGAAATTTTTTTGGATGTGCGTTTTATACCATACTATCACTTTCTTGAATTGCAAACTTCTTCGCCAGCGACGTCTCTTGAATAGCATTTAATCCTGTTTCTAAATTTAACATTTTAAAATTTTGTTTTATAAAGATCTTAATAAAATGTTAATCATTTAAAATTTATGACATTTACCGCACACATATATAAACTGAGCTACAAGTTCGAAATTAAGGTGACTGATAGTAAATACTCAAAGCAGAAATAAACTGGAATTATGTCATTGAATATTGATTTACTATGCTTTTCCCGCTTCACAAATTGGAAATGGAAAAATTATAGAAGTGGGAAAAGTTCTAAATTTTCTCGAAAGCTAGTCTGAATCAGCGTCTTAGAAAATTCTAGAATCTTTTGAATTTTGAATTCTCAAATCCTTCATATTAGAATAATAATAGCATGGAGGATTTTACCTAATGGAAAAGGTTTTTAATTAAAGTAAAGTTTCAAATATGTGTTTGACAAAAAGTGAATTTATAAATACAATTTTTAAAAATGTAGTTATGTTTATTACAAGGATAGCTTTGAAATTTAGCAAAAGAAGAAGACAGTCAATTTTTTTTTAATTTTGAAGTTTATTTTCTCATTTCAGTTTGGCCGATAATATTTGAGTAACAATTCAGATTTTTTTAAAATTTTCTCAGAATATTTATAAATCAAAATTAGAGTGTGGAGAATTATTTTAAGAATCAATATAGATAAATATTAATCATGGAACATTAAATTTTTTATAGAAATTTAGGATTTCTGTCTGACATTTATGACCGCCAAGGGTTGATACTAGTTATTTAGGTGTACTGAAATTAAAAAAAACGCTTTCGTTTCTAATTTTTATTTTTTCTTCCAATTAACATTTTTATTGCACATGAATAAAATTAATCTTTCAAAAGTTTTGAGTTAAAACATTGAACATATAATATATTTTCTCCCTCTTTTCCTCATGCCTACGTGTTGTAACTCGAAGCACGCTCGACGCGTATTCGGGAGGTCCGGAGTTCGAATCTCGGCGGAGGCGCTGCGGCGGATTTCTTCAATTTGCTGACGTCAAAACATTCTAAAAAAATTCTACAATTTGGGCCCAAGCTAAAAGGTGGTGGAAGATAATTCGTCATTACCAGGATTTGCCGACCAAATCTTCAGAGGCGCTTTAAAAGTGGAGTGTATAAGGTATTTTCTCCCCCCTTCCCGTATGCCTTCGCGATGTAACTGAAAGCTCACTCGACGCATATTCGGGAGGTCCGAAGTATGAATGCCGTAGAGGGCACTGCACATTTTTCACATTCTTGCATCGGTATAACCTAATAACTCTACATTTTTTTAAAAATTAGAATTCAAAAGAATCGAAAAAAAGGGCTGAGTTTCGAATTTTCGAATCTTTGAGGTTCGTGAGAAGAGAGTACAGAATTCGAATGTCCCATCTTCAAAAATTTCTATAAACTCTTCAGAAATTTCATGCGTCATTTAGGTTATATTGTGTTGTAGTAAAAGTAGTCTGTAAAGAAATTTGAGTTTTACATTGAGCTAAGAACAAAACCGATGTTTGAGAAATACATAAAACCATTTCTGCAAAACATACATACATGTATACATATTTTTCATAATTTAATTTCTTCAAATATAATACAAAGCGATAAACCTGTACCTATTTGCCCTCGGTTTGCTGTGTTTGTTGCGCTTGTGTAGAAGGGCTTGTATATTTGTGCATACTGATTTTTAGTGTCTAAAAGTGCTGTATTTGGAATCTACAGGCCTTTCGGTTTGTGAATATGTTTTGCGTTTGAAGATTCGAGGATTTTTGACCGAGTTACAGGCATTTTAGGATTCATGCGTGTTTAGGGGCTCATTTACATATGACTTTGAAGTTTTGGCCTGTATTCTTTTACATCGACTTGGTGAAGTACTTTTGTTTGATATTTAGTTTCTATACATCTTTTGCTATCTGTATGGTGAATTTGATTCAATTTCATGGCGTATTTTTAAAGTTATTTGTATTTGAAAATTTGATACTACGTTTTGTTTACGTTTGAATCTTTGTGATTTTGCACCGCGGGCATGTCAACTTTTAGCCAACTGGAAAATATTGAAAATTCGGATTTTTAAATATTATGGCAGGAGAGACTTAAGTGGGTGTTGATTATATAGTTGGTGCGTTGATTATATATGTTTTTCAGCCCGTTGGACAATTTTTGGATTTTTTTCGCATGTAAGATTGATTTTATATTTTACTATGAATGCTTTTGAGATTTGAGGTGTTTTTAAGTATTTTTGATTATTTTAATTTGTAAATCTCAATATTTTCAGCTTTTAAGGCGTTTTTAGTTTTATTTACTCCTGATATTTATAAAATTGGATTGTTCGGATGCTAAAGCTGGATGGATTTAATTGTGCTGTAAAAACATTTTTGATGCGTTTTGCAATCATCTTAATTTTGTAGAATGTATAATATGTTTTTGTGTGTGTTTCTGTTTATGTGATACAAACCACTCTGTATTTTACTGAATTTTATTGTACATATGAGAGTTCTTGTCATTTTATCTAACTTTTTTAAATTGTAATTATTGTAAATCTTACATTTGTATATATGTTTTTATTCTGAAAATTTTAATACGGCCCCGTCGCAGTTATATTAGTGAATAATAGTGTGAACTTTTCGTGATTTTTGTGATGAGTCAACTGAAGAGTAATAAGGAGAGTAAACTTGTGGAAGCTGAGGGAGAGACTTTGGAGAGTTCGGATGAAATAAAAGAAATTATGGACTGTGGTAATGATAGACCTAACGATGAAGGAAAAAATTGAGAGTGTACTCGTTGTTGTTAGATCATTATATGATTTTGTAGACAAGTTAAAAGCTAGACGAGTCTCACGGGAAAATTACCGATGGTCTAGCTAGAGGTATAGATAGAAGTTTTGGATTTGCTTGTCTCACAGAATTTAAAGACTATTGAAGAGGACATGGTGCAATCAAGAACCAATATTTTATTTGATATTAAACAGGATATAGATGAAATTAAGGTTATTTTGCAGAAAGATCGAGATATAATGTGAAATGAGGGATAGAAAGAATAAAGTATTGGATGTAAATGATTGGAGAGAAAATGAATTAATAGTTAAACCAGCTGCAAATGGCGTTGGCGTTGATGTATACGAGGAGTTAATTGCTAACGTTAGACCAGAGGATGTTGATATAAAAAATAATGAGCTCCCATACGAGAAAGAATGGTGATTTGGTGATCAGGTTTAAAGATAGCAGAGAAGTAGACACGGTACAGAATGTTATTGAATCCAGGAAAAATTTAAGGGATAAACTTTATACAAGGAAGAAAAGGTTTATACAACCGAAGATTATTGTATATGGCGTATGCAATTTAATAGATGATAAGGAGATTATGGATAAAATGAAGGAGGAGTGCGTTTGTGATGGAAGTTGTGTTCGTCCTCTCTTTAGACAAAAATGTAAAGAGTCCGACGAGATTTCTCATCGCGTTTTCCGTGTAGACCCTCGATGTCAAGGTGTTGTCCTGGAAGACTGCAGAGTTCGTATAGGTTGGAAGGCATATTCGGCTAAGCTCTATCTTAATCCGAAGAGGTGTCTGCGTTGCTTTCGATTCGGACATACTACCAAAAATTGTAAAAATGAAATTGTATGTTTTAGATGTTCTGAACCACATGAATTTAAAAAATGTAAAATGGATGTAGAGATTTGTGTAAACTGTAAGAACTCTAACTCGAAATATGGTACTCATTTGGATGTTCATCACCATGTTTTATCACGAGATTGTGAACTATACAAACGTGAAGTTAGATTTATTTCAGAACATATACGTTTAGTGGAATGATTTATTTTGGGTTTTATTATATTTTATACTGATCATTATCTTATGGTGTATAATTTTTTGTTTTTTATTATTAGCTATTGTACTGTTCCCTTGATTATGAAAGTGCTAAATATAAACTTGAATCACTGTGCGGTGGCAGCTTGCCAGTTGGCTGCTGTTGAGGATATTTTGGAACAGAAGTTTGACTTGATAACTGTCCAGGAGCCCTATTATGTAAATACAGAAATCCCATATTTAAAAAAGGGTTGGAGAGCGGTGCATGATGTAAGGGAGAAGATCTGCCATAATTGTTACCAAAGAAGAGATTGAATTTATTATAGATTATAAAACAAATGAGATAGTAGCCATCTCCTTGAGAATGGAGAACTTTACAATGGGTGTTGTGTCGGTATACTTCTCCCCTGCGGAAAACTTGAATTTACATTTGACAAGACTTGAAGACGTTTTGAACAAGTATACATTTTATTTTATTGCTGGAGATTTTAATTCGAAACATTTTAATTGGGGTTCTAGGACTGTGGATGATAGGGGTGTTTTAACCATGGATTTTTTAATACAGAATAATATTATTTTATATAATCAATCAGACTCATTACCAACTTTTGTTTCCGCAGTAGGGGAAGGTTGGACAGACTTGATTCTCAGTTCTGCCTCTCTCTCCCCGTTTCGTATTGAACTCAAGATACATGAAGAGGAGAGTCTTAGCGACCATAGATATGTTGCTGTTGATATTGAAGATGTTCAACCTGTGAGACATGAGAGTACTGTTTTTACAAAAAATCTTGTTAGAATAAATAAATTTTGTAAAAAACTTAAACTGGATATGGAATTAATGACGGATAGACTGAGATCAATAGATGATGAAAATAATTTGGAGAATTTTGTGGATGACTTTGAAAGGTTGATTGTCCAGAGGGCTAAGAGGTACCTGACTATACGTGGAAATAAGGTCAAGAAAAAACTTGGTCAGGAATACGAGTTTGCAAAAAATGAAGCGACGGACGAGAGCATTGAGAAAGAGTTTTCAGTTCAGAGATATTGATGAAGAAACAAGAAATAAGAGAAAAGTTTTATATAAAAGAGAGATGGCACTTTATAGAAAGCAGATTAAGAAGAGTAAATATGAGAGGTAAAATCAAACATTTTTGGAAAATAAGGTATATCATGACTGTTACTTTCGTTTTGCCCAGGGAAAGCGTCGGCTACCACAGATAATAAGTAGAGTTCAGGAGGGTGAACATAAGGAATACACTGAGGTGATTGAGGAATATTTTAATAAGAATTTTGACTGTGGTGAGTTTGAGGATGGTATTATTGATCATGAATTGTTAAAATTTTCAAATTGTTGTGCTGATGATCTGCCTTTTACTTCTAATGAGATCGGATATGTAATTAATAAACTAAGAAATAAAAGTGCTCCTGGACTGGACAACATTTCTGCAGTGGTTGTGAAGTGCCTTTATAAGTATTACGAAGAGTTTTTTGTTTTTATATTATATAATACATGTTTCCGCTTGTTGGTTTTTCCGAGGGCGTGGAAAAATATCAAGAATTATATTTATACCGAAAAATGAACATGCGGTTAGACCAATTTGCTTGTTAAAATTTTTTAGTAAGGTCCTGGATAGACTTCTCACCAATAGATTGTATCATTTTTTCTACAGAGAAAATTTTATTTCGGATAGACAGTTTGGCTTTGTCGCAGGCAGATCAACCAATGATGCTTTGTATAAATTGATCAATATTATTTCTGAGAAAAAAAAGAGATTATCATGTAACTGTTGTCTCATTTGATATTTCAAAGGCCTTTGATTCCATTATATGGTCATCGCTGCTCTCCACCCTCGTGAATTTTAAGATTCCTTGCAATATATTAAAAATTTTTTGTAGCTACTTTCACAATAGGAAGGTTGTTTATTCATATGGTGGGGATTCTGAAGTGGTTAAATCAGTTTATAAAGGTTGCCCACAGGGATCCTCGAGTGCTCCGCTGCTCTGGGGTGCAGTAATTTACAACTTGCTGAATACGAGTCTTCCCGAGGGCGTTGAAATCATCTGTTATGCAGATGACATACTTTGTGTAGTTTACGATGTGTCTCTTGTAAAATTAGAAAAAAGATTTACATTGGTATGTGATGTCCTTGAGAGATGGGCTATAACAGAAAGACTCATCTTCAACTTGTAGGGTTTATATTTATTTTAACTAACATTTATTTTAAGTTTAAACTATCTTTCCTGTCAAGCCTTATTTTCCCCTGGAATTGCCAATGCCAGAGTATGTAAATTTTAGTAGAACGCGCAAGGATTCAAATTGTAAACGGAAGTAATCTGAGTTAAATAGAAGGGAAACAGTAGGGTTTATATTTATTTTAACTAACATTTATTTTAAGTTTAAACTATCTTTCCTGTCAAGCCTTATTTTCCCCTGGAATTGCCATGCCAGAGTATGTATTGAAACGCGCAGGATTCAAATTGTACGGAGTAATCTGAGTTAAATAGAAGGGAAACAGTAGGGTTTATATTTATTTTAACTAACATTATTTTAAGTTTAAACTATCTTTCCTGTCAAGCCTTATTTTCCCCTGGAATTGCCAATGCCAGAGTATGTAAATTTTAGTAGAACGCGCAAGGATTCAAATTGTAAACGGAAGTAATCTGAGTTAAATAGAAGGGAAACGAGTTCGAAAGTGTGCTTTCTTGCTTCACGAGCGTGGAGGTGGCTAGTTAGAAATTGAAGAACCACGCGTTTCGGCCTGTGTGCTTGCCTCGGCAGATTGTTAATCTTTCAACGTAATATTCAGAAGTTTGCTGAATTATCAGCGGTATTTTTAGAACGCGGTGAGGTTAGTTACGTTTAGAGAGCCTCGTAGTTAGTCACTTGTTATTATTCTTTTTTAGTTTCTTATTTTTATTTTACCGCCGGGTCGGCGTAGTTTGTGAGCGTCAAGAGCACGCATTTGTAATTTCTAAAGTTGAATAAAAAGGGATTTAAACCCTTCTCAAGACTTTGTCTACTTTCCAGTTCTTAGCAGTCACCACTATTGTTGCGTGCAGGTTGGAAAGCGCGCAACATTAACATTGGCGCCCGAACACTTGTCGAACTGAAATGGCCGAAAATTGGATGGAAGTTGCTGGACAACAACAAGAAATGGCAAGCCAATTGGAAGGATTTGGATACCTGGTCCAGACGATGAGAGCGTCAATCAAGCCAAACGTCAATTTCGACGGAAAAAATTCGGTGGCGATATTTCTAGAAGGCCTCGACAATCACTTCCAGCTCTACCCTGTGCCTGAAAGACAAAAAGTTGCCATCGCCACATCTGCACTAAGAGGACAGGCCGCGCGCTATGGTGGAAGAATATAGGCAAATTTTTATTAGGGGAATTCGGAGGCCAGACATATACATTTGAAAATTTCAAAAAATCGTTATTAAAGGCCTTCCCCATAGTGAAAGATCGAGCAAGGCTAGAAGCCGAACTATATAGTTTTTATCAACGGAATATAGAAGAGTTGACGGACTTTATTCTGCGAAAAATTAAGCTGACGGATATGCTGTATGGGAAGAAACCCGACGCGGAGATTATTGAAATAATCTTACCAAGATTGTTACCTGCTGTTCAAGACTACTTCGAAATTAGAAACCCAAGCACATTGCAGGAGCTCTTCGAATTGGCGGTCAAGTTCCAAAATCGCAGAATAGCGGAAAAAGCTAGAGGGGCATCGTATTCTCAAAGTATCCGAAGGCAATCTTCAAATGAGCAGACCAGAAATGCAAACCGCTCTTATGGGGGAAAGAGCTATCAAGCTAACTCATCGAAGCTCGAAGGTCAAGGCCCAAAAAGGAAATTTGAAAACAACCGTCCGCGTACCCAGAAGGCAGAAGTTGAAAAGAAAGCTTTAAACGAGTAGAGGGGCCTGTGAAAGCGAGGGTCCAGACCCCGGAAGGTTTGAAAAAACCCTCAAAAAACACTTAAATACGGTCATCGTAAGGAACTCACAGTTACCAATTATACGAGTCCTGGTTGGCGATGTACCAGTAGAAGCCCTCATCGATACAGAAGCAGAAGGTAATTTTATGATTGATAATTTTTTTAAGAAGAACTTTAATAGGTTTCGATTATTTAAAAATAAAAACACAGAAATCATAGCAGCGCAAGGACAAACTTGTCATTGTATTGGAAAACTATCTTTAAAATTCAAGTTCAAAACGAAAGCCTTAAAGTAT